CACAAAAACCGGTGGATCGCCTCCAAGACGCCCCACGAGGGCCCGAAGAGGCTCCCCAAGAACGCCCGAAGAGGCAAAAATCGCCCCAATACCCGAGGGAAACATGTAACGTTTAGAATGTTCGCTTCGTCGGTATCGATGGCACCAAAGACTGCTCGAAGGACCCCAAAGATAGTTCCCAAGTGCGGCAGCAAGACCGATATCATTCAGGTTTTCAGATATTGAGCCACAACGATAACAACGAAGGCAGACACATACACCAGCGCTCTGTGCCCATGCACATAGCTTCAGCCTGCAACACTCGAAACAATGTCAGTACAAGCCTATACGATACACCTGAGAACATACGAAACGAGGTGGGTTTTCACACTCGTCCAAAGTGTTTATATATTTAGTTCCCTGAAGGACTCACAGAGGTAAAAAGTATAACATGGTCAGACATGACCACCCTATATAGGCGAGAGCCAAAAAGGAGAAAAAAAGTCTTAGCGAAGAACCCAACCATATGCAGCTGTGAAAACCGCATCCGTGAGTACCGTCTTCGGTGGAGCTCCCTATGGGTCCACGAGAAGCCGTCCTGGGTGGCGCGGGACGCATGTGAACACAGCCACAGGCGCCTTCGGTGGAGCTCAATATGGGGCCACGACACGTGCGAGGGGTGCGCCGAAACGGATGGCTGGGACGCATGCGAACTGCGCCACTGGGACGCTCTCTGCTCGCTCAACCCAACTTGCAAGGCCTTGACGTGAGCAACGATATCGGGGGACCTGCGCCGTGACGGAACGGAACGGAACGGTCGCTGAAAACGAGCTGCGCGCGCGCGCGGCTACGTGCCCTCACGGGCTCAGCGTAATTGGTCAGCCCATTGTGTCAGAGGGCGCCCGCGGGCTCTCCGCCCGTCAGGTGTCCAGTCGTGGACTCGCCGGGTGTCCGCCCGTGACTGGTGTAAAAACTCGTATTTTCGCCGCCCGAGCACCCACCTCATAGGATCGGGGTGTCGGTAACCCTGCGAGCCACCGCGCCCGACGGAGCAGGAGCCGGGCAGGTCGAGGGCGGCGGGCAGGCAGAGCTCGGGGGCCGCGGTGTCCCAGGAGCTCGGGTCCCCTGCGGCGGCGACCGAGCGCGAAGCGCCAGGGTCGCACGTTTCGAGTTTGAGCCAACAGGGCTACGGGTATTGACGATGGTGATACTGGTGGTGATGGTGATCAGGGTGATGCTGGTGGTGCTGGAAAAGATGGTGATGATGGTGGTGGTGGTGGTGCTGATGGTGATCATGATGATGATCAGCATGATGCTGATGATGATGCTTATGATGATGGTGATCATGATGGTGATCATGATCAGCATGATGGTGATCATGATTATGATCATGCTGATGATGCTGATGATAATGATTATGATGATGATGATGAAGATGATGATGATGATGATGATGATGCTGATGATGATGATGATGATGATGATGATGATGATGATGATGATGATGATGATGATGATGATGATGATGATGATGATGATGATGATGATGATGATGATGATGATGATGATGATGATGATGATGATGATGATGATGATGATGATGATGATGATGATGATGGTGATGATGATGGTGATGGTGGTGATGATGATGACGATGCTAACGACGATAATGATGGTGATGATGCGCGATGACTGAGCCTAGCTGTGCAGTGACTGCCAGTGAGCAGGGACAGTACATGGACATTAGATTCGAACCCTGTGGCCCAACATGCCCCCCAACCCCCGAAATTAGTATTGATGGCGTGGCGACGGGGGGGGGCGCGAGTGGACAGGAATATTCGAACCCCAAAGCACCGCCTTTACTGAGATCAACACTGATGTCGGGGGCGCGGGGGTGACTTAGAGTCTCCCTCGAATGTGGAAGCGTTCTAATGTATTGTCCGTGTACGGGAGCACGCGACCCCACGCGCTGCTCCCAGCTCCGGCGGCCGAGCGCACGCAGCCTCCCCCCTGGCCTGCCAGGCCCCGGCGCCAGGCGCAGGTCTGGCTCTGCTCTGCTTCGGGCCGTCTTTGAGGGGGCCCAGGGACACGCAAGGTAGTGTCCTCTGAGATGTTCTGGATTTGTTCCTTATGTGTTCCTGATATGTCCAGATATTGTTTGATATTTCCCTGATATGTCCTTTCCCTGATGTTTCCTGACATCCTCGGGATTCCCTGGTATATTTCCTGATATATATAAATAAATAAATAAATATATATATATATATATATATATATATATATTCTGGGTTTTCGTCTCCCCCCCCCCACTTCCCAGATGTTCCCATAGTCTCCTGGGAGTCCGCGATGAATTGTGCCTCTGTGTGTTTCCCCTCCCGAGTCTTGGACCTCCCTGGGCGCTCCTGGGAGCCTCGCGGGCAGCAGGAGGCCAAACGCCACAAGCATCCACGTGTGGAGCTCCGCGCGGAGTTCTTGCATCCGCGCTGGAGCGCGCGCCAGGGGTGGCGCCGGAGGCGCCGCCGGGGTAGGAAGGCACCAACTATACACCAACACCGATCCTGGCCAGGATCACCCTGGGCCCAGGAGGTGCGGCCCCCATACCTTCCCCTGTGCCCTCCGACTTCCCAGATGTTCCCATAGTCTCCTGGGAGTCCGCGATGAATTGTGCCTCTGTGTGTTTCCCCTCCCGAGTCTTGGACCTCCCTGGGCGCTCCTGGGAGCCTCGCGGGCAGCAGGAGGCCAAACGCCACAAGCATCCACGTGTGGAGCTCCGCGCGGAGTTCTTGCATCCGCGCTGGAGCGCGCGCCAGTTAGGAAGGCACCAACTATACACCAACACCGATCCTTATGGATCACCCTGGGCCCAGGATCGGTGCATACGCCCTCCTGCCTTGGGCAAGAAGGTATACAGTATACACCGATCCTGGGCCCAGGGTGACCCTGGGCCAGGAGCGGTGTTGGTGTATACTTGGTGCCCTCCGACAGGGGGGGCCCAGCGGGGATCCAAGAAATCCGCGCGGAGCGCCCAGAGTTTATGTTTATGGCGTCGTTTCGTCTTCGATCGTGGGGCCTCTGCTGCGTGTTTGGGGGGCTCTAGGGGTCTCCTGTGGGCCATTGGAGGCCCCCAAGGACCGTCTTGACAGAGTCCTGAACCTTCTTTGCGCCGTCTTGATGCCCTTTTGGCGCCCTCTTGGGCCGTATGGGAGGCCTCCAGGGCGCCAGATAAGTCGAAACTGAAACCCATTTCGGGCATAACGGGAAGCGATGCTGGTTGCTGAGTGCTGTCGTTCCTGCTACTTGCTGCTGCTTGGTTATCGTGCTGCTTGCTGCCTTCCTTGGTTTTGCGCCGGCAGTCTCGATGGGCGTGCGAGCAAGGCCCTGCCTATCCGAGTCCGCCGTGCTCTCTGCAGGCAGCGCCTCTGAAGCCTGACGAAGTGATGCCACAACCCTATGCGAAAAGCAACTGGTGTTTTTGTATGCCTGCCCCCCCTGAATTCCAACAATCAATGCGGCGCCGATTCCTTCCCGACCCTCGCTGGGCGCGCGATCAACATTGAAATGAGGGGGCCGGGATGCTCACCAAACACCAATTGCCTTTCGCACCAGGTTGTAAGAAGCGGTTCCCGTTGTGCGGTCCGCGATTTCACATCATTATCTTGTCCCGTTCCCAATCCCCTCCAGATCGTATGCTGGCGCCTGCCAAAGCTGGTTGATCCGCGCCACAATTGCTCAACACATCTCATGTAACGTGTGAAATCGTCTATGTACATCGGAGCATGCACCCGGGGGGAGATGCCCACGGACTGGCCCGAATATATATATATATATATATATATATACACACGATACGCACGTCCACTTGGCCACTTCGCCCACCAGCCTGGCTGGATCACCTCAGGCATACAAGCGCTGTTCAAGATGCCCGTTGCGCTGTTACGGGGTAAGAATTGGCGTTGCTTGTTGCTGCCTGCTGCTGTGTATTGTTGGGTGCTGTTTCTTGACGCTGTGTTCTCCTGGTTTCTGCCGCCTGGACATTTGTGTCACACCTTTTCGGGCACATACTGGGGCCTCCCGTGCATTGATTGCAGCCTCATGGGGTAGCTGTGTGTGTGGCAATAATATCGAGAATTGCCACACGCTGGAGCGGACCGCCTCTGCCTCGCCGCCGACGGAAAACATGTATCAATATCGGAGACGTCTGAACCGTGTCCGGACCCTCTAGGGTCGTACAGGGGGGCATACTGGGGGGCATCTTGGGAGCGTCTCTGGGGCCTATTGGGACATTTGGGGCCAACTTGAGCCATATCGGGATATCTTAGGGCCCATTCAGGGCTCTCTCGGACTAGCTTGTCGCTGTCTTGGGACGTACTGGGGCTCTCTTGGTCTGTCTCGGACCTGCAGAATGCCCAGTAGAATCTTATCGAAGCCTCTTGCAGCCCTCTTGGGTTGTGGATGTCATGACAATGAACACTCTGACAATCCTATCATCGAATTAAAGATGTGTTTAACATGTGTAAACCATGTTCTCGTAATGTCTCAGGCATGTGTTTGTACATGTTTGAAACATGTTTGAAACATTGTTTAGACATCTGGAAATTATTTGGCAGCATACTCCCTCTCCATTAATCGACTTCCACAATTCTTGGGCCGCTTCGGGTGGTCGTTAGGCCCAGGTTTGCTGTCTCGGAGCCCTCCAGGGCTTTACTTAAGAGACGTTGATCGAACGCGAAGATGCCAAGGTCATTGAAAACCAAAAAAGTCTGGCATAGCTATCGGAAATCTCTTGGAGCGTGTCTGGGCCTCTATTGGAGCCTCGTGCGGGTATCCTGTGGCCTCTCTAGGCATCCCGTCGGGGATTCCTAGCTCACGTTAGAAACCTCCTAGAGCACTGCTGAACCACATTGGAGCCCTCTTGGAGCCCTCTTGGGCCATTTTGGACACCTCTTGGAGCTAAAGAGGATTTGGGGGAACGCTAGCCTCATCGAACTCCCGTCAAATCTAAGCGAGAATGTGTTGGCGATTTCCCGTCGTACACGAACATACCGTCCCCCTCTGAACGTATGTGGAAGAGCAAGTTCAGCCCAACAGCGTCGCCCTGGGATACGCTCAAATCTGAATATCGCATGGACCGGACAAAGAATCGCAGATCCCATACAGAAACAAAATGTTACACTCCTTAGCTTCGGAGATCCCTGTGAATATGAATACGCGGGGGCAACAGCATGCGGCCGAAGGTCATCGATGTGACGTCCCTTCCTTTCGGTTGGCAAGCAAAAAGAAAGCAAGCAATGAAGCAAGCCTTTTAGCAGTAGGCCCTGTAGAGCGGATCCGCGTATGAGTGTGAAAAGTCCAGCGCCTATCAGCTCCCAAGTCTAGCTGTTTTCCTGGTGGGTGGAACGCGCGTGCTCTCCACTCAGAAGCCATCACGGCTACGGGAAGGCGAACATCACACTGCGGCAAACACAGCCGCCCCTACCTCGCAAATGTAAGCCAAGGCCACCAGCGGCTGCCTAATGATTATTCGCACGCATTCGACACAAGAACCGTCGCAGGACGAACGACGCTTTGTAACCATATTTCCAAGGACCATCCATGTGGGATACCCAGCCGGCCTCCGAGCCATCAGGATCCAACATTGGCAGCATTGCCCCATGCGCACTTCAGCCTCGTTCTGCAGCCACGCGTCTTATGGGCGGTCTCTGTTTTCATTGAATGCGTTACGCCTCTGAGAGGCGTCGCTCTCTCCAAGAAGAGACGCTTCGATGGGTTCACGCGCACTTACCCGCGCCTTGCGGAGGTCCCAGACCCAGACAAAGCTTGAACAGAAAACTGACATCACACAAAGGCCCGCGACTGATGCAAACATCAGTATCCAGTCTTCACCAATGACACCTTTGGCTTGGAGCATGAAGATCGCGAACATGTTGTCGAAGACACCCATAAAGGCTGTGCAGGTGGACTTCAGCCTCTTCCCGCCCACGTCCACTGCGAAAACTGCCCCGAGCACCTTGTACGGCCCGAAAAGGCAGAACCCTGTGAACGCGACGGCCGCGACGGCAACAGGGAAGGGAATGTGCGTCCCCGACGTGCCCAAGAACACCATCGTGCAGAGGAGCAGTATTATGAATAAGACCAGCGTTGCCGCCCGATGCTTCTCGGGAAGTTTGTCCTTCAGCACGCCAACGAGCAGCACCGACACACAGCCCAGCAGAGTGTAGATGGAGGACGCTGCCGCCGTGACCGACGAGGTACGCTCATCGGTCAAGCAACCCCTGTACGCTTTGGACTCTGGCCTATCATTCGGGTGAGCTTCGAAGCAGTAGGACGCAGCAAGGAAATTATTCGAGTAGAGGAGGAAAAGGGTTCGGGTTCCATAAAGGGAACCTGATAGTAAACAAAGAACCCAGAACAGTGGCGTCTTCACAAGGGGCATCAAGCGTTGCATGTAGCTTTGCGCATCCTTTGTATCTTTCACCACCGCTTGATGGGTCTCCTCCTCCTCCTCCTCGCCGCCTGGCGCATTACGCACAAAGGCTAACACCGGCAGCAACAAGAGAAAGGCAACTCCAGATGCGATCTGGAAAACTGCCCGCCATCCCCAGCCGAGGAAGTTAGAGAGGACAAGGCGAGCAAGGACATCTCCAAGCTGAGGTGCCATCGACACAATGCCCATCAGTCGCCCAAGAACATGTTTTGGAATCCAGTTCGTGGCGACAGCAACGATGGCCACCCATGCCAGACCGAGTGCACAGTAGCCAATTACAGCCCAAGTGGCAAGGAACCCATAGAACGAAAAACTTCCAGAAGGTAAAAAACTGAAGAGAAGAGTTGCGGTGGCATAGCCAAATACAGATAGAAGTATCACTTTATATCCTCCTATAGTGTCCGCCATTGCGCCTGCGCTAGCCTTCCCAAACATGCTGAAGAAATAGCCGACAGAGAAAAATGTTGCCATCTGTGAGTCGCTAATCTGCGCATCATCTTGAAACTTCGCCTTGACAACATACATGTTCGATGTGCAAAAATACTTGCCAAAATAGCAACAACACAACATCCGCCACCACGCCGTAGGCACGGGTGGAGCGTTCTCAGGTTCCACATACTTCTGTGCACTTGAAAAACGCATTGGGAATCTGATAATTGAAAGCCACCCAGCCCCCAACCTACGCGCTTCCGCGTGCTTTGGGTCTGTATGGCTCCCTTTCCCGAGAGGAGGAGGAGGAGGAGGAGGAGCAGGAGGAGGAGCAGCAGTAGGAGGAGAGGGAAGAGGAGGAGGGGGAGGAGGAGGCGGAGGCCCTGGGGCTGGCTCGAGAGGCCAAAACTTGCGGTTGCGTTGCGACGATTGCGCGCTGTCGCCGTTGCGGTCTCACGGGCGTCCCCGACAGGACAAGAGCCACCAAAGATCGCTCCCAGGTAACCATGGAGGCTCCCAAGAGGGGCCCAGGAGGCTTCCTAGAGGTTTCCGAGACGGCCACGGAACAGGCGAAAAAAAGGCAACAACCACACCCCTCAGGCGTCCAAGAGACGGTCAAGAGGCCCCCGAGAAGTCCCCAAGAGGCCCTGAGCGGTACCCCAACGGCTCCAATGAGGCCCCCAAGAGACCCCCAGAAGATTTTCCAGAGACACACCAAGAACCTCTCAAAGGCCTCTGATCCACCACCCATGCACGGTGGCGGGATAAGCCCGAGGCCAATACATCCGCCGCCCCCTGCTTGCAGGGGTGCACGGCGTGCTGGATGAGCTGGTTTTGGTTTTGGTTCTTTTTCCAAAAGAACTCCCCAGTGGGCTCCGGCAGAACCCGCCGGCCACCCGGAAAATCCCCAAACGTGCTCAACGACCGGAAAAAATCCTCCAAAAACGGCCGTTTCGCTCGGGACATCCTCAAAAAATCGCGAAGATGGCCCAAGATGGCCTCCAAGTCCGCCCGAGATGGTCCAAGACGGCCTCCAAAACGGCCCAAGAGAGTCCAAAGACGGCCCCCAGACGGCCGAGGCCTCCAAGAGGTCCTCCAGGTCCGAAGAGGCCAGGAAGACGGCCCACCTCAAGATCGCCCAAGAGGCCCCCAAGAGAGCCCCCTGATGGCCCAAGTGGCCTCCAAGATGGCCCCTAGAGGGCCCCATCCAACACGGCCCCAAGACGCCCAAGATGGCCTCCAAGACGGCCCTGGAGCGCCCCAAGAGGGTCCCCCGTTGGCCCAGAAAGGCCCCCAAAACGGCTCCCGACGGCGTCAGACGTGCCAGGAACCCACCAAGATGGCCGAAGTTGGCTCGAAGCTGGCCCAAAAGGGCCCAAGAGGCCCCCAAGAGGGCCTCCAGGAAGGCCAAAAGATGCCAAAATCACTGATTTTCCAAAGGTTTTTGATGGATTTGGGCATTTCCCTTTTTTCGGCCTTCCGACGGCCCGAGACGGCCCAAGAGCCCCCAAAGATCGCCGAAAGATCGCCCAAGAGGCCTCCAAGACGGCGACGATGACCATCAAGACGCCCACGTGTTCCCCGAAGGCTTTCCAAACCGATTCGGGGAACACATGGTCCGATGGCTTGGCAGGTCTGGCCTCAACGTTCGGCCACATAGGCGCTTCCACAAAGGCAGGGGGCGGCGGTGATTCGCCGTAGGCGTCTTCGATAGCAACGACACCGTAGACTTTGCACGGGCTGGCATCATAGGATTGCGTCCTGACCGAAGGCTGCTTGCCCATCTCCATCTCTCCTTTCCGCAGTGAGAACTTTCACGAGAGCGGCAGAGTGCGCGTTACGATTGCCTGACTAGCAACGGGTTGAGCCCAAGTTGCTGAAGCCAAATTGGGGTGTGGTAATATCGCGTCGACTCGGCTGTATCAGTACGTCAACGTGGCAGGTATCCGCCACGAACGGCGCGCCCTCGGGCAAGTCTGAGCGCCCGCGCGAGACTCGAACCAGGTGCGAAGCCTTCGCCCCAGGGCCCCAGCGTCGCGCAGCACCAAAAGAGGCATCACGCACATCTGCGAGGCCCCGCTGGGACGAAGCCAGGACAGGGACCAAATCGGACCGCGACGAATCGAGATCTCTGAGATCCGGCGGTTGTGGAGGATGCCCCGGGCGCCGCAGTCCAGAGCGCTTGGGGTCCCAGCCCCGCCCGCCCACCCGACCCGGGGAAAGCGATTCGCTGCCGGCTCTGAGTGTCGAAATCAAATCGAAAGGCCGAACACTTGCACTAAAAAGTTGCCGAGTGCGAACAGTTTTTCGGCCATAGGTCGAAATGTATACCGATTTCAGGCGTCCCGATCCTCTAGACCGGAGCGCCTGATGCTGCTGGGGCTCTCAGTGCACATGAAATCTCTGTAGCTGGTCTGAATGTCAAGTTAAAGCAGACAACTACATTTTCTGTAAAATAATATTTTCTCGAGGTCGGTTCCGGGAAGAGAAACGATTGAATTTTTGTGACTACAGCCCTGGAACTTGTACCAGCAAACGCTGAGTGCTCCAATGCTCAACTTTTGTAATAAGTTTTATACAATAACTAATAATAGTAATAATAATATGTTTTACTAATATATATATATATATATATAAAAATAAATAAATAAATAAATAAATAAATAAATAAATAAATAAATAAATAAATAAATATATAAATACATAAACATACATACACAAAAACACACACACAAACAAAAAAAAAAAAACACTATTCTGAAATGAATTGTCAAACGTTGCCTAAAAACTTGAAAAACTGGGCGCCAACGGTAAACCGTCAACCCGCCTACCGCCGGGGACCTCGCAGAGCTCCGCAGCCGCAGCCGCAGCCGCAGCCGCGCCGCAGCCGCGCGCAGCCGCAGCCGCGCAGCAGCCGAATAATGCAAAATAGTTGTTCGAACACACCTCGGGGAATAGACCGATATTACGCTTTCGGAGCATATGAAGATGATGATGACCCTCTTTGTTCAGGTGAAACCTCCGTAGCTCCTCTGAATGTCGAGATCAAGCTGGAAAAAAAAAACAATACGTGCCCCAGAGAGTTGCGGAGTGCAAATGGCGTTTCGGCCATAACAGGAGAAAACCGATCTCGGACTGTGGGACCATGTAGGGGAGAGCTGCTGATGTTGCTGAACCTATTCGTCTACGTGCCACCTCTGTAGATGCACTAAATGTCGAATCGAATCGAACAAAAAACGAGCATGTGACCCAAAGAGTTGCAGAGTACGATCCGCTTCTCGGCCATACATCTAGTAGCAGACCGATATCAGGCTTCTCGAGCCTCTCGACTAATGCTTGCAACTGCAGAAGTTATTGCCACACATGAAATCTCTGTCGCTGCTCCAAATCTCGAGATCAAATCAAAAAACCAAAAATGTGCCCAGTAAAAATTCAGAACCTGAAAAGTTGTTCGAACATACCACGAGAAGCAACCCGATCTCAGGCTTTCAGATCATGTAAACGCAAGCTTTCGATGCTGCTGAACCTCTTCGTCTACAATTCAGCCCTATAGATGCTCCACATGTCGATCAAAGCAAAACACTGAACATTTGCCCAGAGAAATGTAGCGTCTGACCCGCATTTCGGCCATAGCTCGAAGAATAAAACGATTTCAAGCGCCCCAATGCTCGAGACGAATGCTTCCGATGCTGCTGAGGCTATCGACAGACATGGAGTCTCTGTAGTTTCTCCAAATCTCGAGATCAAGGCCAAGAACCGAGCACTTGCCCCAAAAAATGCAGAGTGCGAAAAGTGTTTCGAACATAACTCGAGAAACGAGCCGATCTGAGGCTGTTGGACCATTCAATCAAGAGCTTTCGACGCCCCTGAACCTACTTGTCTGTATAAAAACCTTCCTGGCTGCTCTGAATGTCAAGGTCAAATCGAAAGACCGAACACTTGCACCAAAAAGTAGCAGAGTGCGAATAGCTTGTTCGGCCATAGGTCGAGTTGTACACCGATTTCAGGCGCACCGGTCCTCTAGACTGGAGCGTTTGATGCTGCTGGAGCTCTCAGCGCACATGAAATCTCTTGAGCTTGTCTGAATCTCAAGTGCATGCAGATAAACTTCATTTTCTGTGAAAGAATATTATCTCAAGGTCGTTTCCGGGAAGTGAACCACAAGAAATATCGCAGCTACAGCCCTGAAACTTGCACCCGCGAACGCAGCGCATTCCAGTGCTCAGCTCAAAAATCTTCGACTCCGACATGAAATGTCAAATGTTGCTCAAAAACTTCGAAAACCAAGCCCAGGTCACCACAAGTTCCACTCTGCCACGATCGGCCGACTGGCTCAAACCTGCCGCCGAATTCCTAGCTCTAGCCGAAGAGCTCTACGAGGTACCGAACCCAGGTCACCACAAGTTGCACTCTGCCCAGATCGGCCGACTAGCTCCACCCTGCCGCCACATTCCTCTTAGCTCTAGCCGAAGAGCTCTACGAGGTACTAGTTCCACCCTGCCGCGGAATTCCTCTTAGCTCATCTAGCCGAAGAGCTCTACGAGGCATTGCACGAACAGTTCTCGGATAGCTCCTTGAGGAGGTAAGAAGGTTTCAGATTAAGATGACGGGGCCGCAGGGTAGCCTCGGAGATCGTTGCGGCAGCGGTCCAAACCGCCCGGCGCGGGCTGGTTGAACTTGCAGCGGGTGCCGAAGAACCTTTTCTAAGCGTATTCCCAATACGCGTGCCCGGAACCACCTCTCCAGAATGTCTCTCGGAAGCTCTCCCTGGTCCTTCCCGAAAGCTTCGCTGGGCCTGCCCCCCCGTTTCAGGCGCGTTGCTATCCGGATTGCAGACTACACAAGTTCTCAAGATTCCAGGATTAGCTAGTTTGAAAACTAAAACTGGGCGCCGGCGGTAGACCGTCAACCAAAGTCACCGCCGGGGAACTCGTGGAGCTTCTGTCCGAGCAGAGACGCCTCTACAAATCATCGACTAGAGTCTGACTAGTTCATTGGCCAAAATCGGATCGGCGACCGAGCTCGGTGCTCTCGAGGCTCTAAAGCATGCTACTCCATCAACTTTAATAAGAGAGCTCCGTAGTTCCTCTCAATCTCGCGACCCAATCGAAAAAACACATGCGCCCCACAGAGTTGCAGAGCGTAGCAGACCGTTATCATGCTTCTCGATGCTCTATACTGATTCTGACGATACTCCTGCAGCTATTGGTGCGAATGAACCCGCTGTAACTGAAAATCTCGAGCTGAAGTCGAAAAATTAAATCAAATTGCAGAGTGCGAACAATTTGATCATAGCTCGGGTACCTGACCGACTTCAGGCAGGTCGATCCTCTCCACTTATGCTTCTGCTGATGCTGTAGCTTTCGTACATGAACCCACTGTAGCTGCGCAACAACTCGAAATAAAGTAGGAAAACTAAGCATTCGCCCGAAAATGTTGCAGGGTGCAGATAAATGTTGTTCATAGTTCGAGTAGCAGACCGATCTAAGACCCCTCGATAACGAAAGCTTTCACTGCCGCTGAACCTCTCTGATCACGTCAAGTTCTGTAGATGCTCTCCATGTCGAGACAACGCCGAAAAACCGGATATTTGCCCCAAGAAGCTGCAGTGCGCGAATAGTTTGTTCAGTCATAGCTCGAGCAGCAGACCGATCTCAGGCTCATCGATTCTCTGCACTAATACTCCCGAGGTTGCTGAAGCTATTGGTACGCACGAGAAATCCGCAACTGCCCTGAATCTCACAACTCAGTCCATAAACCGAACGCGCGTTCTTAAAAATTAGTCTCAAGGCGAGCACCCGCCATACTAGAGTTTGCTAGTATCGAAGATGTCCAGAAGAGATATACCCCATCCAGAATGAAGTGTCAAACATCTCTGAACAGATTTTTCGACTAGGCGAATGCCATGGATCTGTCCGTCGCGATTTCTCGGGCCAACTAGCCCAGAAGCGATCCCGCACTGGGCGCCGGCGAAAAGCCGTCAACATGGCTACCGCTGGGGACCTCGTAGAGCTCCGTAGCCGCGGCCGCAGTCGCAGCCGCAGCCGCGCAGCCGCAGCCGCGCAGCAGCCGAATTACGCAAATAGTTGTTCAAACGTAGCTCCGAACAGAGAGGGAGAAAAAAAGGCATTCAGAGCATACGGACGAGAACTTCGGGTGCTGCTGGATATACATGGTAACATGAAATAAATGTAGCTGCTCTGGATAATCAAATTGGGAAACTAACTAGTTTCACCCAAAGAGTTGCGGTGCGCGAATAATGGTCGGCCACAGCTCGAGGAGAACACAAAAGTCAGGCGTTTGGACGATGCAGGAGCGAGCTGCTGATGCTGCATAAATTAATCGGACTCGCGAATCTCTGCAGCTGCCCCCGAGGAAGTCGCAAAACCGAGCACGCGCCCAGAAAAGTCGCAGAGTCTGAACAGCTCTTTGAACATACATGGCTGCAAACCGTTCTCCGGCCTTCAAACCAATGTTAACGCTAGCGCACAACGCTCCTGGACCTCTTCGAAATTCAACAATTCGTTAGAGCTTTAACATTGTTCCCCCATATTTGATCTGATTCCCGCTCGCCACCTTGATCTCAGGTCGATCGGGTGGATATTATTATCAAAAGCACTCAGGCGGGATCGGGTGATGAGTGTCATCTTGGCAGGCGCAATTGGTTTCCTTAACTTAACTCGAGTTGTAGATGAACTACAAAGCTGTTCTGCACAGCAATCGAAAGGTAATCATCAGAAGCGCTCGTCTATAGTATCTAGATGCCTTTTCTTTTCCCACCCGAACTGGGACCAAAAAAATTGTACTCTGTAGCTGTGTTGAGAGAAGATGCTGGTCTTCTCCACTTCATTCGAGCTGTAGGCGGGCTACGGAGCTGGGAAGCACACCGTTCAACAGGACATGCTGAGGAGCGCCAGTCTTAAGTCTCTAGACGTCTGAATCGGTCTGCTACCAGAGCTGAGACCCAACAACTATTTGCTCTCCTTCATTTTTTAAGGGGCGATGTTGGTTGTCTCCATTCAATTCGAACTGTAGGCAAGCAACGGAGCTGGGAAGCACACCGTTCAACAGGAAATGATCAGGCACATTCGCCGACAGCATCGAGACGTCT